GGACCGCGTGGCTACACAGACAAAAAAAAAAAAAAATGCCCAAATGGCTGGAGGGCGTTCAACTGTTACCAGCCTCTTTGGGCAGAGCACGGATTTGACAGCTCCTCGACGTGAGGATATCCGCTGACCCCGCGAGACGGAGAATTCTGCCGAGCCTTCTGTCCTGCAAAGCCACCGCTGTAGGCTGCAACTTTCCAACTTTGTTTTTCCCCGTCTGACCAGAAGATTGCCCCTTCGTGTGGGCTGAGAGGGTGATCTGTCTTGTAGAGCGGTTGAAAACGTCCGTCCGAAAGACACTTCTGGTTCCAAATGTCACCCAGACGTGTTTTTTGACGACTCTGTTTCTCCGATTTTATTCATACACTTTTAAAATACCAAGAGCTTTTTGGGCATGCTGAGAGGTGACTGAAGCCTGCAAAGGAAAAACTCCGATTGTCATGGCCGAAGGAGAGAATGAAGTGAGATGGGATGGACTGTGCAGTAGAGATTCGAGTACTCGAGAGACAGCACTGGAAAACATTAGGCAAATCATTTTGAGAAAAACCGAGTGTCTTCGTTCGGTGAAAGAGACACCTTATCGCCCATCAGACGGGATTTCAAATGCTGTTTCTTTGGATGGGTTGAATAAGCTTCTTGCTCACCTGCTTATGCTTTCTAAGAGGTGTCCTTTTAAAGATGTAAGAGAGAAAAGTGAGTTTATTCTGATTAGAGCGTCCAGGTAAGGAGGAGCATTAGAAGCACAACTGTCTCTCAGTATAATGAAATTTTATTTGCTGTTAATTCATGTTGTGTTTGCTTTCGGTAGGTTGTTATAATTTGAGCTGTTATGGTGAACTCACTTTGCATATTAAAATTGCCGTTATTCTGTAAAACATTGAATTTTGGGCCAAAACTGGACAAGATGAACCAAAGTAAAAACAGTAGTTTAAATAAGTATTGGTTTTCTAGAGCTTTCTAGGCAGAAACTGTATTGCTCCTGGAAAAATATCTGAAAGGTACAGCTTATGGCAAGTAAAGACTTGTTTTTTCCTATTCTTTTTCATGTTTTTGGAAAGTGTAGCCAGTATACTTTTCACATTGTTACGAACAGTGTTCTGTGTGGAAAGTTTCACATTTAATAGCCTCTAAAAATGATAAAGGATATTAAATGTTTCCTAGTTAGTTTTTTTCAAGATAACTGGTGAAACAATTTTCTCTTGTTACTCAGCTTTCTCTGTTTGCCTAAATTGTGTTTTTTTTAACATACATATCTATTTAATTTGCGAGTGCAGCAACTTAAAAATACAGTAGTATAGTTTTCCCTGCATTTTGTAAAGTCAATTTATCACCTTTTATTCGAAGACTTATAATTATTTTTTGTAGAGAAGTGGTATTTTTAGATATTAAGAATGTTCAGTAACATGTTAAATATGATGGCCAATCTATAAACTCAATTCACATGTGTTCAAGGTATGTATGAGTTCTTAAAATTTGTAATTTACTTGAATATATCTGTAAGCTAAAGTGGACAGTTTCTTTATACTAGCCAGAACTTAGTTTAAAGCAACAGAGAAGTTGCCATATCCACAAAATGAAGACTTTAAGATTTAGATAATCCCTCTTCAGGAACACTTTGGAAACAATGATGATTTATGATTTATTTATCCAGAGTTACCAGAGAAGAATCAACTTTAGGAGCTTAAAGTTTATCCTTTTACGTATAAAGAGTTATTTCTTTTAAATTGTAGTGAATGTGAGAACCACATTTAATATATATAGGGTATAGCACCATATGATCCCTGTTTTTTTTAATTTTTTGTGGCCAGTTTTTCTAGTCTTTCTGTCCTTTCTTTCCCCTGCTGTCAGTATACTTAACTTTGGTCTCTTCCTGATCTTTTATTTTGCTGCTTATTTATGCTAGAATGGGAAACCAGTTAACCAGTTTTGTTAAGAATTATATTGAAAATAAAAGCAAGCAGACTCTGGGGGTTACAGTGTCAAAGGATTGCTATATAATAGTAAGTAAATGGGTGCTGGAGTCAGACCTGGGCTCAAATTCTCCTCCTTTATTAATGTACTGCATAACCTTGGGCAAGCTACTTGACCATTCTAGGCTTGCATTTCTACATCTACAAAATGGGAATAACAACATAGAACTGTTGTGAGAATTGAATGAGCTGTGAAGTGCCCCGGTATATATTGGGTCATCAGAAAAGTCATGATGCATTTTTAAATAGAAAAATACAGCATGACTTTTCCAACAACCCAATAGTAGATGCTCCTCTCTCATAAGTGAAACACATGTACTATGTGATATATATTGTAAGACTCATTCATCTTGCAGAAGGACTCAAGAATTTCCTCTTCTGTGATTTCCCATAGACTTATATTCTCTTTATCATCTTCATGTCTATTGTATTTGATTCCTGCCACAATTATAACAAGCACATATATTGTGCTATAATCACATGTTTATGTGTCCTCCCCCATGAGGGCTGTAAGTTCTCAAGAGTATTGACTGAATCTGGAAGCTACAAAATAAATATCCAGTGAATGAACAAATTTATATTTGCCTCTTTCTGTTTCTCATCAGCCTAAATAGGTGAAGTTTCCCATTTAGGGACCTTGTAGCTTGGCATCATTCATTCATACATGCATTCATGCAACAAATGTTTATTAAACCCCTGGTGAATGTCACACTAAGATCTGAAGACCACTGGTAATAATTTTGACATTCTACCAAAGAGAGATCATGAAGAAGTAAACAAATAATTTAATTTTAAATGGTAAGGGAAGACTTCTCTGAGGCGATGACTTTTAAGCAGAGACTTGATAAAATAAATTTTTTCCCACAGGAGAGAGAAGGATACACATACTATATGTGTGAAAGCCTTATGGCAAGAGAGCAGATGAGTTCCAGAAACTAAAAGTATTGCAAGTATGGTTGAAGCAGATAGTTTGAGGGGAGTGCAGAAACTTAGGAGCACGTGTTCCAAGCTGGCCCGCCCGTAGGGCAGTGATTACGTACTGTAGGTTGGGAGCCAGATCTCACAGGGTTTGGATCTTGGCCCTAGAGGCACTGGGTGCTTGTGCCTGCATATACAAATTCCTGACAGTCTGAGAAATGGAGAAGGAAAAAAGATGGCTGCATGACCACACCCTATTTGGGGAGGTGCTCTCTCTCTGGGAGTGAACATGCCCTCAGGCAATTAAAAACAAATACTTTGGGGAACCAGCAGTTAGCGCATCCCGGACCGGGTGGCTTAAAACTCAGGCCGGGCGAGTGTGTGTGCATGCGTGCGTGCCCAAGATCCCAAGAGAATGGAGGAGAAGGGGTTGCGGCGTGCCCATCCCCCCTGGGGGGTGATTTCTCACTTTAGTCCCAAACCCGGTGACTTAAACTCACACCGGCACATGTGTGTGCGTGCATGCCCAAGATCCTGAGAGGAGAATGGAGAAGGGGTTGTGATGTGGCCATCACCCCAGGGGGGTGATTTCTCGTCTTCTGTCTCTCTGTCTCTCTCTGTCTTTCTGGTGAGCGTACATGCCCTATAGCAAAAACCTCTCCGAAAAAAAAAAAAAAAAGTCAGAGGGGACCTGGCTTCAATACCACATTAGCTCTACATCCTTGAACGAGAGATGTAATCTCTTCCTGACTCAGTTGCCTCATTTGCAAATAGTTCCTGCCTCACAATGTTGTAGAATATAACAGAGTAAAATGAAAGGCAAAACATAGTCCAGTGCCTCACTCAGTAATGAAATGCTCTGTAATGTGTATTCTTACTGTTACTAGGCAGGAGAGAAAGCTCTCATAGAGGCTTATAGGCCTTGTCAAGAATTGTGGACTTTATTCGATGAGTGCCACTGAGGAGTTTTAAGCAAGATAATGCCAAGATCAATGTCTTAGAAGGCTCATTCTAGAAACAGTGTAGAGAATACATTTTTCAGGGCTAAGAGTGAATGTGAGATATCACTTAGGATGATGTTCCACTAATCTATGGCAAAGATGGTGGTGGACTAGCATGCAGTGGGAGAACTAGAAAAAAGGGAATGGGTTTGAGAGCAAGATATTAGAAACCACAAGATATATATTATTTAATTGCATTTAGAACTGAGGAAAATAACAAAATCAAGGATGGCTCTAAAGTGTCTGTCTTGAACTACATGATGAATAGTGCAGTAATTACCTGAGAAGAGTCTTAGGGGTCAGTTTAAGGGAAAGTGAGTTCTG